TTTCGCAAATTTTAGACTTACCAAGTTTTTTCCGAGCACCATCGATTTATAAATGTATAATGCGATAGCCGTTTGTGTGGTGATTATAGGCTATTTTATTGTTGGTCTGGGTGCAATATGAAGTTTGAACTGCTACAATGCGATATGCGAATGTGATTTCAATTTTAATAATGAATTTCGATTGACTACTGTTATTCAAACCTGAGCTTGGTCAACAAACTATAATATTATGTTCATGTTACTTATACATGTTGTCTATCATCCATGTTGGGGAGTAAATTGTACTTTTACTTTTAAGTTATTTAATGGTAATTTTAGTCAATTTTTTGTAGTAAAATTACTAAATTACTCGTTAGGTACTTTATTTATTTTAATCTATTTTTAGAACCAAATGATAATATATGTTAAATTATCATATATTTATGATTTTCTCACAGTAGATAGTAGGTAGGTACCTAACGTTTTTGTTATAGCTATTTGACAAAAAAAGTTTTATTTTTAATAAGTAGTAATTTAGAAAATGCATTGTTATTTTAAATTAGGTAGGTAAATTAAAAATTAAAGAACAATGTATTACATAATTATTGATTTCATTGGTTCGTTCATGAACATTTTGTAATATTTCATATTGTTTAGTGTCATTACTTAGTAAATGTATTGACAAAATAATTATTAAGCTCCATTGACATTTTTGAAAGTGTCCTTGATTAAATAGAAACAATAACTTAAGAACAATTTAATTATATAACATAGGTACAGGGAAACCCGTAAAATGTTGATGTTGATCGTTACTACGCTCATCTAAATTCAAAACTTTAAAGTTTAAATAAGTACCTACTACCTAGCCACCTAGGCACATAGATTCCTATAGGTTCTTATAAATTATAACTTATAACCTACTTATCCGAAATTGATTTTTATTGACCTAAATATTTCGAATAATACTCTGCTTCAGAATATGAAATAAATTTATGCTGTCATTCAAAAAAGTAAAAAAACAAAAAATAGTCAATTTTCCGTAAACGTTGTCTTGTAAACGACTTAAAATGATGTAATTTAATATTTTAAAAAGGTGGGTAAGTGGATGTCGCTCTGCTGTACTGTAGGTTACAAGTGGGTCATTGTATAATGGATGGTATTAAATTTGAATTCAATGATATAATATCATTGTATAAGAAAAACGATTCTGAGTGGAGACGGTATGTCCTTCTATGTATAAGACATATTATATACATATCTATGGTATTAAAAAAAATTAACCTATACCTAATGAATTCCAAATTAATCATATCACAATATCCATTAGGTACTTATAACGCGTTATACACCAACAACAAACCCTGATACTATCATAGATATATATAGTAAATTACTTTAGAAATTTCAAGTACCCACGAATAATATTATACAATCACAACAAAATAACTAAAATCGTAATTCTTGGTTTAAATATGAAATTTTGTCTAAATTTGAAATTAAAATGTCTGTAAAAAATAAGTGTGTTTATATATTTTTTAGATTTTTTGGTTACAGTATGAATTATTTAAGAGAATCTTTGTTTTAAATTTTCAACTCTTAGTTATAAAAACTGAACATTTTATAATTTTTTAATTCCAACGATTGATAATTTTTGAGATTTTGATAAATTTTGTCAAAATTCCAACTTTAAATGCTTTTAAAAAAAAATCGTGCCTATGTATTTTTAAAATTTTTCAACTGATATTGTAACAATATATCAGGAGCCTTGTATTAAATTTTTACACTTTTTGGCCCAACAGATAAAACTTTATTGATATTTATAGAAAAAAAAACTAAAAAAAATTGAAAACTGAAAATGTCCATAAACAGCTCAAAAAGAGTCAAAATATTTTCAAAGTTGTATGGTGTATAGAAAATGCTAATTTAAACATTCAGTGAAATTTTCATGTATCTACAGTTGTTCGTTTTTGAATTGCAACAAAATAAGGAAATCGCTACATGAGTAATCGAGTGAAAATCCAATGTTGTAAAAATTTGAATTTCAAACGCTCATAAAAATTTAATTTGACTGTCCGGTAGAGATTTTTTTATTGATAAAGGTAGATAATCTTATAAGGAATCTTGTGTTTCATTTTCAAATCTTAGATTTAAAAAGAAAAATTTTTACGAATTCTTAACTCAAAATAATTTGCTAATTTTCGTGATTTTTCCATATTTTGTCAATTTTTGAACTTTAAATGCTTATAAAAAAAATTGTGACTAAGGATTTTTAATATTTTTCATCTGCCTTTGAAACAATATATTAGGAGCCTTCTATTAAATTTTCAAGCTTTCGCAACCAACAAATAAATTTTATTGATATTTCTAAAAAAAAAACTTTTTTGGAAAATCGATTTTGCGTAAAAATTCCCGTTTTTCCTTAATTTTTATGTTGTTTTTTCCCGGCGCTTGTGAAAACTACTGGAAAATGTTTACTTTTGACCCCCCAAAGTACCAACTAGATTCACTTTCCTATCAGAAAAGGTACTATTGAAGAAAATCGAAGCACTTTTACTGTCCCAAAACGTGATGACAGACACAAAAAAAAATAAAAAAAAAAATAAAAAAAAAATAAAAAAAAATAAAAAAAAAATAAAAAAAAAATAAAAAAACACACATCATTGTAAAATCAATACATTCATCGTTCACTCAGAATCTAAAAGGTTATGGTTTCCTGAAATAAAGAGTGTATTATGTTACATACTTAAATGGATCGAATAAATGTATAAGCCCGGGCGGAGGGCATCCGGCAGTCGTGGTGCTAACTGACCAAATATGTAATCTACCCCCTTTATCAAAAAAAAAAAAAAATTTATAGTTTTGGGACTCCAAAATTGTCTGTAGTATAAAAATAATTTGTAATATTCTGTATTTATATGTATCACAATTCACAAATTTACTAATTTTGTTAAAAATAAAAAAATATAACTAGGTGCCGCGGTAGATAACCGTGCTAGGTACCTATAGCTGGTAGTTGGTAAGTCTGTTGTTTTGAATTCTGTTTTGCGGTCCTTAAAAATCAGCTCAAATTATATGTGGCTGGCAATTGCAACCTGCCGTATATCCGCATGCGAACTATAATAAATAAATATATATTATGCAAAACAATATAGACTCGCGTATAACGGTATACTGTGCTACTACAGATTGCAGTGGTCTGCAGACTGCAATAAATGTTTCTGCAAACTGGTCCAAGTAGGAGTAGGTTATCTGCTAATAAGTATAGGTACTGCAGCTTTTATATTATACTATATAGTGTAATTGGTCCATCGTTGTGGAGGGAAAGGAGTAGACCGCAGACCTGTTAGGACGTACGCATATATTATAATGAGTATATACTATTTACCTACAGCTATTTATACAGGATGATTTATCAAGCATACTCAATCCCTTTTTTTTAATTACGCAGTTATTCAAAATCTGATTTTTGGAAATTTTGAGTATACTTAAAGATCATATATTTTTAATTCTTCAATTTTTGTATAAAGTATTTAAAATGTTGTATCAAAATAAAAACGAATAGTTTTTGAGTGATTTAACTTTGTATTCCAAGAATAACAGGCTCATGTATTTATAGGTTTGGAAGATAAATGGGGGCTGTAGTGATTTGAAAATGTTAGTATTTTATATTAATCCATCAATATTTATTATTTGTAAAAATGGTCCATGTATTTTAAATACATAGGTAATCCAATATTATATCTATTTTATATTATTGTAAAACCATTTTAAGGACTAATTATTATCCTTATAATATTATAAACAGTTTGATAACTGGGAAATTCCTCGTTTGAATTTTGAATTAAGTACATAAAAATATTCAAGACAATTATTATCCACTAAATAATTATTTACAGTAAAAAACTGGTTTTCTCATTTAAAAATACCCTAGTTCGTATCGTCACAGGCACTCACAGCAAGACACTCCTTAACCATAAGTAGAACAAAATTTTAAAATATGATCTTCAAGTGTATTTAAAAATTCCCAAATGTATTATTAAATGAGAACATAGTGGTGACTGGTGAGCATACTCGGTGAATCACACTATATATCTACTTAAATGTAATATATGATTCGAGAACGACGCACGATGGATCATTATACCGTAATTTTATATTATAAGTATATCGGCACTTGTTTTAATAATTCCCTCGTCCTTGTAACGTCCACACCGTGCATTCAAGAATCGTAGATCGCGCTAAACCTATAATAATATTATGTTAGTATAATATTATGTGTTGTAACCGCGAGTTGTACCTATTCGCGTTGGGTGCCGACGACGACGCCGTATTCATTCGCTGCCGATAATTTAATGCGTATGGTTGCAGCTGACTCGCCTAAGGCTTACTCTATGTGTGCATAATAATGAATAACAACGTTACATCGAGGCGCGCATGCTAAAAAACGGTTAAATTTAAGTTAGGTGCCTACCTGTATAATATTATAACCAGCAAGGCCACAATTTTTCCACAGCCGAACCACCGTCTAAACTTATCATATTATTATATAGTAATAATAGTCCTTATTTATAAGCGGTACTTTGTACATACCTACGAATATTGTACACATCGCCGGCTCAGTTGGATTTTCGCGACGATACCGCTGAACCGGTCCACCGGCCCACGACGCTGACTGAGCGGTGTGTATTTATCTGTTTTTTACTCCTCTTCAGCGTTGGACAGCGTGTTCCATTTATAGTTTAGTCTCCGTTCGCCGTTTTACACGTATTAGGTTAGATTTATTATAGGTATCCCAAGCGTATTATGTGTTTGCAAAAATACTAAAAATATAACACAACACATTGTTCTATATAATAGGTAGTATAATATAGTTAATAGTTATATTATAATAATAATATTATACCTATTCAGTACACATATATTATTTATACAGTATCGACAAAGTTCAATCGTTGCGCTTTTAATCGGTATTTATTATAATTTATATATCTTTTAACACTGTGAAGATACCTGTGTTATAAATGTCTGATGTAATAAAGACAACGATTCCGGTGCTGTTGCAAGTTACCGTCGCCGAAGAAGAGCTGCAGCGCCTGCATGTTGAATCTACAGGCAGTGTTCGCGAGGGAGTTTCCGTGTCGGAGGATGATAATCTGACTGAGGTCGTGATTTCTGACAGTAACCCTAATCATTACAGTAAGTAATTATACCTACTTGAATTACTTATTACGGGTTTAGAACGTTAAAATATGCTCTTTAAAAATGAAATTGTATAATATGCACTAAAAACGCAGTGAAAGCACAAAAACATTTTTAAAACGGACATTTATAATTTGTATAATTGTATAAAATAATATACAATTTAATTATACTAATAAATAATATCATTTTTTATACCTATGGTAACATTTTTTTTCTGTAGGTACTTTAAAAGCACTATATAGGTAGTGGACAATTTATGTTTCGATCTTAAACTTCAATGGTAGTTTTTGGTAGCAAATTGAAGGTAGCTAGTTTATACTGTGTAGCAGGGGCGGATTGGCCTATCGGGAAATCGGGAATCTTCCCGATGGGCCGGTTCTTGTGAGGGCCTGCAGGGCCGCTATAATTATTACAATATAATTACAAAAAAAATTAAATTTTTATAAATTAAGCATAAAATATATTAAAAATCAAATACCTACGAAGGTATTATTTTTAATATCTTAAACTATTGCAATTCATAGTAGGAATTTTGGTATTTACACTATTATCCCTCCAATTCATGCTAATGTATTATTTAGAAATCTGTGGTATTGGTATTTTAGTATTTATATTTTATACTCTATGGTAGAATTTAGTTACGTGATAACATTGATAACCTTATCTTATCATTATTTGTATTTTTTTTTGATTTTGAACTTTTTACACAAACGAGTTACTGTACTTACAGAAGTGTGTTTAGTGTACAAACTCGATTGAACTGTGCAATTTAAATTATGTGTGATGCTGGTGAAAAACGAAAGTAGGGTGGAGCTGAAAAGGTACGAGAAAAAAAGAAAAAACGGTTAATGGAACCTATTTACCTGGAAAATTGTTTTAAATTTTCAATCCTTATAGATATACATGTTCAACATTTTATAAATTTTTAACAACAAAATAATTATTGAATTTTGATAAATCTTGTCAAACTTCGAGCTTTAATTGCTTATAAAAAAAATGTATGGCTATGTATATTTAATATTTTTCAACTGATATTGTAACAATATATCGTCGGTGCACAAGAATAGTGACACAACTCAAAAATTGGCATTTTCGAGATTATTATAAAAATGCATTGCAAAATACCCATATATTTATGTGCAAGAACGACATTTTTGATGTTTCCAAAAATCGCCGCAAGATGGCTGTAGTGTCGTTACTAACCGCGATAAGCTATACAAGAAACGGGGAATCTTTAAACCGCTGTACTGGAAAATCTACTTTTTTGAGTTATGTCACTATTCTTGTGCACCGACGATATCAGGAGCCTTGTATTCAATTTTCAGGCTTTTTGGCTCAACAAATACAATTTTATTGGTATTTATAGAAAAAAAAAACTAAACAAATTAAAATTTGAAATGGTCCGTTAAAACATCAAAAAGAGATAATTATTTTCAAAATTGTATGGTGTATACAAAATGCTAATATAAATATTCAGTGAAATTTTCAAGTATCTACATTTTATAGTCATTCGTTTTTTAATCACAACAAAATAAGAAAATCATTACATGAGAAATCGAGTAAATATCAAATGTTGTAAAAATTTGAATTTCAGAAGGTCATAAAAATGTAATTTGACTTTCTTGTTGACATTTTTTTTTTTTGATAAAGGTAGACAAACTTATGAGGAATTTTGTATTAAAAATGTGTTTTAAAATTTGTTTACGAATTTATAACTCAAAATAATTTGCAAACTTTCGTCATTTTTACGTATTTTGTCAATATTTGAACTTTAAATGCTTATAGAAAAAAATTGTGACTGGATTTTTAATTTTTTTCATCTGCCTCTGAAACAATATAATAGGAGCTTTTTATTACATTTTCAAGCTTTTTAACCAACAAATAAAATTTTATTGATATTTATAGAAAAAAAAACTGAAAATGTCCGTAAACAGCTCAAAGTAAGTCAAAATGTTATGGTGTATAGAAAATACTAATATAAACATTCGGTCAAAATTTCGTGTACCTATATAATCATATTTATTTTGGAGTTGCTTCAAAAACCAAAATCGATTTTCTCGAAAACAGATTTTGCGTAAAAATTTCCCGATTTACTTAATTTTTCTTTTGTTTTTCACGGCACTTTTGAAAACCACCAGGACATTTTTATTTTTGACCCCCCAAAGTACCAACTAGATTAACTTTCCTATCAGAAAAGTGAATCTAGATGAAGAAAATCAAAGTATTTACTATTTTTACTGTCCTAAAATTTGATGATAGACGCAAAAAAAAATTAAATTAAAATTAAAAAATTAAAAAAACACATCATTGTAAAATCAATACATTCATCACTTCGCTCAGAATCTAAAATGTAATAAGATCAAACTTCAAGTTCGAGTTAGAACAGTCTGAACAGGTTAATCTTATCTGACTAACCCTAAACTGTTATAACTTTAATTATAGGTACCTACCTATTATATATTTTACTAATTTATTTGTGAAACTAAACAAATTTTGAAATGTGAGTAAAATGATGAAATTTTTTTTTTGGTGGGGGTTACATTTGCGGTGCAGGGCCGGTTTGAACCATATTTCCCGGGCCGAAAAAATTCGCCAATCCGCCCCTGCTGTGTAGGAAGGGTGTTAAAAATAAATAAATCACTATAAGTACTTTTCTAAACGAGCTTGGCTCAGTTGGTATACGTATCAGCTCTCAGTATATTATTATTGTTATTATGCTTGTATTATAATTTAATTATGCTGAAATAAAAATAAATAAATATTAATAATCGGGGGTGATTACATTTTTTTTAAAAACCCGGAAAACTGGACCATATACGTAATACCAATTTTCGACAAATCGATTTTTTTATTTTGTTGTAATCCAAAAAATATATCTTCGAGACTTGGACAATTTTTGCATTAGACACGTATACTATTATTTACTATAAACAAGGTGTTTTTTGTAAAAATTCAATTTTGGCAAAATTAAATTATAAAAAAATTGTGCATATTTATAATTTTGATGAACTTAAAAACTCGAAAATGTTAAATGTCTATAAATAGCTTAAAATTGGGTCTAAATATTTTTAAAATTTCATTGTGTATAGAAAATGATAATTTAACTATTAGTGGATTGCTTCAAGTTTTTACGAATAATATTTTTTATAAATAAAAATAAAAATTGAAACTGATTTTACGTACCTGAGTATTCCTATTTCATCGTTTTATTTGAGTTTTAAGTTACCTAATTTGAAGTATTGATATTTTGTAAAAAATATTTGCAGTATACGTAATACAATTTTGTTCAAAAACATATTTTTAAGCTCAGAAGATACCTATACGATTTATAATTTATTTAGGTCGAACGTCGAAATCTGTAGATACCTATACATGTTATTTTGTAATGTTGTTGAATAGGTACTGCAATATAGTTTTTGTATTTTGTTAATACTTTTTTATAAATATCATATTAAACTAGCTCACTATAATTTATGATTCAATAATATATAATATAGAGGGGCTATTCGCTATACTGGCATACTGCTATATGTATTAATTATACAATTACTATTTTTCATATTCTCATTTATTTATAAATAGGTATAGCCGTATAGGTAGTACCATTGACTATACATAGTAGTATTATACTATGTATAATAAATGTATAATCAATAGTAGTATACCTACCTATTAAAATTTAACATTGATCGATTTTTAAAATGTACTGTCACAGAACGCCCGTAGGCGTAGAAGTAAGAATTTTACCGCTACCGCTGCAGTGTGTGAAGACCTTTAGATTAGATAAATCATTATTTACATAATATAAAATAGTATTAATTACTTCAAAAATTTTTTAGAGTAAGTTATATTATATTAAGTTTGATTGTTATATTCAAATTAAATATGCTTTTTTTACTCATTCAGAAATAAAAGTACTCAATAAAGTTAATACTAACTGCACACTTTCTAAAATCTCATACATTAAAAAATAAAAAGTTATGTATTGTTACTTACAAATAAAAGAAAATTTGAAGTTTTACTGTAGTACATTCGTGATAGTAATATAGTAGGTATATAATTTATTATTTATTTAGAAATATAGCATATATTAATATATTATACACAACACATTTTTAGCAATACTTACCTGAAAATATGGTATAAACAATTTAATGGGTGATCGAGTAGCCATACATCAATGCCCCACCAGAAAAAAAATTTGGCCCGGTATCGCCCTCAAATAAAATTATTTGGGGCCGCCCGCCACCCTTCACTGCAAGTTTACAGTAAAGATTACCTATTTAAAAAATATATTTATTTTACACATTACACATATTGTGTAGTGTGGATAGTGTGTATAGTGTTTACAGATAAGTATTTACCTTGTATGGATAACAAATCAAATTATTTAATTTCCTTGAGACCTGCAGTAGATTATATATTAAAAATAATTGAAAGTAATTAACATTCATTAAAGTAGACAAAGTTCTCATATTTTAAGAGGTCATAAATTATATAGGTACCTACTGTTTTAGACACTTATTATTATAGCTTTAGTTGTATAAATCACTACCTAATTTTTGCATTACAATGTAACATTTATAATAATAATAATATTACACAATCCATATTAGGTTCATGGGCACCATCGTACATTCAGATTTCAGACATACCAGCCATGTTCCCCACCAAACACTGGCATAATATATTTGATACTATGTTAGTAATAACTCACACATAAAGAATAAAAACATGCGTAGAGTTATAGTTCTATATGATAATATTATGTATTATGTATATCTAGTACCTACATTATAATATTTAATGAAGTACTTATAATATTATATTGTACTTGTACAGTTGTACATATTAATTGTGTTCTCATCATGCAAAGAAATGATGTTTTATTGTATGGTAAATTTTATGGAAAATGCTCCCCACCCATAGATAAAAAACTATAGCTGTCCATGATTAGGTACCTATACAAATTACAATAATATAATATTATAATA